TCAGTAGCCAGGGCAGAAAGAAACACATGCATTCACTGTGGACCAGTGTGATCAGTGCCACATGGCTGGCAGGCTGCTGTGGGGAAGGGAGGGACTGGTGGCTTGTGTTAACTCAATGCTTCCCAACTAAGAGCGATTTTGCCTCCTAGGGAACATTGGACATTTGGCAATGTCGGAAGGCGTTTTTGGTTATCACCACGGGGGAGGGGCAAGGAAGCTACTGCACTAGTGAGCAGAGGCCAGGGATGCCTCTAAACATCCTACAATGCACAGGACCGCTCCTCCCTCCAATTAAGAATTACCCAGGCCAGATCTGAGCAGTGCTGAGACGAGTCTGATAGCAGAGGCTATCTCAGCAGGCCTTGGGGGTGGGGGTCGGGGCGGGAGGAGGTCTCTCTTAGGCAGAGAGACTCCATGTCAGGCGCTGGAGCCAGCCAAGCACAGACGGGTGGGGTCAGAGGACGCAGGTTGGCTGGTGTGGGTGGGGTGGAAGGAATCAAGACAGTCAAAGCCAGCAAAGCCCATTTCCCCAGGCTAAGGAGAGATGGACGTTATCTAGGAAGAGTTGGACTTTACTATTTAATTGGAGGCATTTGGCCCAGGGTAAATTCAAGCAGCACCAATCTTAATCGCTTTCTCATCTCTCACCCCCGACTGCCCAGTTCTCCCCAGAAGCAACCATGCCCAATCTGTTTCCTGGGTGCCCTTTCTGAACTGCTCTCGAATATATAAGGCGCGTGCGTTAGGGGTATTTCTAACTGTTATCTTTTTTTCTGATTGCAAATGCAAGTCCAGTCCGCAGTGAAAAAGTCCGTCAACATAGAAACAGAAAACGTAGAAGAGAGAGATCTGCAAATGCACACTCCCCCCGCCCTGCACTCCCCAATAACACTGTCAGCCGAACTGGAGTCTTGTCTGAGGGCCTTACAGCTTGATGCTGTTCCAGAGAGAACACCTGGTGCAGGTGGGGGTGGGGGTCGGGGGACGGACTAGAAGGCTGGGGATGGATTCTGAGGCCCCGGCAGTCCAGGCAGGTGACCAGGGCCGAGGCCAGAGCTCCCAGGAGGGGATGGACAGAATAATGTTGACGAAGGAGGACCTCCAGGCAAGATGCCAAGGAAGAGAAAGGAAATGGAATTTGGTGAATTTCGTCCCTGTCTCCTTAGGGAGGCCGGGAGCCTGGAGGAGGAGGCGGTCAGCGGCACCACAAGGCAGTGCTGCCGGCCTGATGTGATGTGAATCACGTCCCGGGGAGGCCTGGCCACACCCCGAGGTGGTCTGGTTGCAGCTCCATAGTCCAGAGTCTGACTCACAGCCACTGGTTCACTAGGCAACAGGTCGGGACAGCTTCCTCCGACCAACCTCACTGGGAACTGATAAGCTGGTGGGTCCAGCGGGTACCGGTTGCCTCCTGCGGCGTTTGTGGCGAGATTCTTCCGTGGTTACTGACCAGCGATGTCCAGGAGAAATAGAAAACTCTATTGTTTTCCTTTGTGCTCCATACAATACTCCACGCCTGAAGCCTCTGCTCACCAAATGCGTGGGGTTTTCCCCACACCAAAGAATTCTCCAGCTCTCAGCAGACACCGAAAGGGTTGTCCTACACCTTTAACTCAATTCGGACACTATCTCCCCGGAGATAGCAAGTTAAGGGCTCAGTCCCACCAGGCTGCCCCTCCCCCCATTCAAACACTGATCACAAATCCAGGTAGCCACCCGGGCTGCTGGCCCAGGAAAGGAAGCAGCGTTTGCCACCCGAAATACACCTTTTGGGATCCTGATTATTTTAAGCTGGTTAAGAAACAAAAGATCCGAAAGAATCTTTGACTTTCCCCCTAACCTCCTAACTAAAAGGATTTAGCCCTGGCCAGGTGGCTCAGTTAGTATTTCATCCTGATACACCAAGGTTGGCGGTTCCATCCCTGGTCAGGGCACATAGGAGAATCAACCAATGAATGCATAAATGACTGGAACAATAATTGATGCTCCTCCCTTCTTTTCTAAAAAAAAAAAAAAAAAATCAAAAGAATTTAGGTAGAAGACCTGCTCCAGGAAGGGAGTATATTCATCTATAACTATAGGTTAGTATGAAATAGATGTGATAGGGAGGAACCTAGCCAGTTAAGGGTCCTCTCGGTGTCCCATTGTTAAAGGTGACCCAGCAAACATTTACTTTTCTGCTTCCACAGGCATTGCCTTCCTACCCTTTGAAGTCCCAAATCACAGCCCCCACCCTTCTCCTTAGCTCAAGATGGCATTTAAGCCTTCACTGCCCCATCTGTCCTGGGGGTCTCATATTCTTAAGGAACCCATGTATGTACATAATTAACAACGTTGGTCATTTTCTCCCATAAATCTGGCTCATGTTAATTTGATTATTAGTTCAGCCAGAGGAACGTAAAAGAGTAGGAGGAAAAATTGTATTTGTCCACAATGACCAGTTATACCAAGTCAGAGATTTCCACTACCCCCTCCTCGGGTTAGATTAATTTTCTAGAGTGGCTCATAGAACTCAGGACAACAGTTTGCTTACTAGGTTACCGATTTATTATAAAAAGGATACAATCTGGGAATGGCCAAGTGGAAGAGATGCATAGGGCAAGGTATGTGGAAAGGGGTGAGGAGTTTCCATGCTCTCTCCGGGGTACCACCCTCCCACCACCTGAAAGTGTTTACCAACCCGGAAGCTCTCTGAACCCCCTAATTCAAGGATTTGTATGGAGGCTTCATTACTGAGGCATGATTGGCTAAATTATTGGCCATTAGTGATCAAGCCAATGTGCAGCCCCTCTCTGCTCTCAGGAGGTTGAAGTGGTAGGGCTGAAAGTTCCTACCCTCTAATCACATCATTGGTTCCCCTGGCAACCAGCTCCCATCCTTAGAGGCTTTCCAAAAGTCATTCATTAACATCAATTCAGATTTGGTTGAAAGGGGCTGTGACAAGTAACAAAAGACACACCACTTTCACCTTTATCTGAATAGCCCCCGGAGCTATTCCAGGAACTAAGGACAAAAGTAAATATTACAACAAAAGATGCCCTTATGGTTTTTAAACAGAGAACTATAAGGATACAGGAGCTATGTGCCAGGCACAGTGGACAAAGACCAACTATATAGATTTCTTATTATAAACCACAGTATCACCGAGAGACACTTATGTAAGTTTAGATTTTTTAGTAGCCATATTTTAAAGCTTTTTTTTCTATTTATAATAAAGCTGTTTTTAAAAAATTTTTTACTTATTTTTAAAATATATTTTTTTATTGATTTCAGAGAGGGAGAGAGAGATAGAAACATCAATGATGGAAGAGAATCATTGATTGGCTGCCTCCTGCACGCCCCCTTCTGGGGATTGAGCCCGCAACCTGGGCATGTGCCCTTGACTGGAATCGAACCTAGGACCCTTCAGTCCCCAGGCCAATGCTCTATCCACTGAGCCAAACCGGCTAGGGCAGTAGCCATATTTTAAACAGTAAAAAGAAACAGATGAACTTAATTGTGGTATATATTTCATTTAATTCAATTTATCCAAAATATTATCACTTTGTCTACACGAGAAATGTCCAAACCTGTAGAAAATTTTTTTAAAAATCTTTATTGTTGAAAGTATGACATTTCCCCCCATCGATCCCCCTGTAGAGAATTTTTATGAGTATTTGAGCCAAACTGATGACTTATGCCAGAGAGCAAGGTCTCAAATGGTCCAGAGAGTAACAGTTTGGCAGCTTTTACGTGTTTGAAATTAAGGAGGGAATGTCAGGAAGGTTACATGAAGGTGGGAGGAAGCCATTTGGGAAGGGGATTACAGAATAGTTAAGATTATGTGCTGTCTGGAGGGGTCTGAAAGGGGGCATTTCAAAGGTGTGTTAACCTAGAAGGACAGAAACCATGGACAGGGCTTGCCTAAGGCAAAGATAAGCCTTTTAGTAAGGAAGTTGTATGCCTGAAGTGTATGCCCACCATCACCTACCCAGTTAGGAATTTATGCTCAGATCACCTGTTGAGGTTACTTTCCCTAGAATCCCCCTTTTTAAAGTTCACAACTTTAACACACAATCAATGCAAAGATATCAGTGAGATTATTTACATACTTTTTTGGTCCTAAGTCTTACAGCACATCTAGGAGCTCCGAGGGCACATGTGACTGGTGGCTGCCATACTGGGGAGCCCAGACTTGGGGCCTTCCCTTCTGTGACTGTGGCCATCAGGAGACCTGTTTATTGCTGTGTCCTAGTGCCTGGCACATAATGAGGCCCGGTGATCTGCGCACGTGAGCTGGGGTGATCTCTCTGAGACTCCTGGAACTGTTGCGAAGGTTAAATGAAATGAGGTATGTTAAGTACCAGCTCAGTGACTGTTGTTACTGTTCTTCTCAAAGTCAGTCGAAGGGCATCCGGCTCCAACTTGCTTCCTGTTTTCCTCTGGAGAGCGCGTCTCTAATATTACAAACGAAAGGTTAGATTCCTGAGTTAGCAGAGCCCTCGGGATCAGGCCCGCGGCCACCAAGCAAAAGAGCGGGAACCTCCGTCCACGCCCTTGTTTTCTTTGCCCCTTGACAGCTGGAGGCCCCGCCCACCCCAGCCCAGACAGCCTCCCGGCGGAACTACAGCCCCCAGAATGCAGCGGGAGTCCCGAGGCCTACGTCATCGGCTTGGGACGCCCGGGCGGCGAAGGAGAGCGCGGAGATGCCTCTCCAGGCGCTGAGCAGACGCACCCCTGACCCCTAAAGAGGGGTGGGGTCCAATCAGCTGAGCTTGGAGTCCAACGACTCACCCGGGCCAGAGCGGCCAACCTGCGGCGGCTGGTGACACGCGCGTCCTCCCTCCTCCTCTCGCCTCCCCTCTGGCTGGCGCTTGCTGGTGACGTTGGGGGCATGATGGCCGCCGTGAGGCCGGGAAGGTGAAGGTGAGAGGGCGAGCGCGCCGGGTGGTGGGGACGGGTGGGGACGGGTG